ATTTTCCCCATAGGCGCTTGGGTCAAAGATACTGTATATTCTCTATATAATGTATTGTCGAGGAAATTCGAACTATACTCGTAACAGTTTTTTTCAGTACACAGTGTTAATTTTTAGTTTTTTGTAAACCTGTCTGCTTCATATACCCTAGAATGTCGCGGAAATTCGATTTTATGCACGCTTTAAAAATGACATATCCCACTGTATACTAAAAAGAAACAAGGCTTGCAACTTCATTTGCCCCTTTCCGTGCCCCAGACTCGAGTTTTTCCTGTTAAAAGTTATATGCGCCGCTTACAAGCTGAATTATGAGTCCCCATCTCTGCAAATAATTCTTATACAATGATTAAAATCCTCAGGTATAAATTTTTCATCCATCTTATATTTTTAAATAATTATTTTCTCTCCAATTGCTCCCGTTTAAACGTCTAATCACGGAAGTTGCATACATGTGATGATAATAATAAATAATAATGATTGTTTTTATATAGCGCTTTTTCTAGCATAAATGCCACTCAAAGCGCTTTACAATACATTATTACCCCAGCAGACCTTAACAATCCAGATTCTTTCTCAGTGCAAGCTGCCGTTATCAGCGCTAGAACACTAACATTCTGACAATATCTTTCACTGTCTATAGCCAGGTACCCTTTTACACTTGGGTGGAGTGAGGAAATTCGTGTAAAGTGCCTTTCCCAAGGACACAACGTCGGCTTGTCGTGGCCAGAATTCGAACTCACACAACCTTTCGATTTGGAGTCCGGCACCTTAACCACTGGACTACCGACGCCACATGTAAAACCAAAACGGGCGTTCCGGATTAATTGACAGTTCCGAATGTCGCAGATGCTTTGTAACGCCAGAGAGTATCGAACATTACAAAATTCTTTTCTTGGCGGCTAATTTCATAATGAATAAAGGAAACGAATGCCCCACAACTGCATGGTAACATTTTACTATTCAAGTACAAGATCTTAATTGATAATTCTAATACTAAAATGAAATAAACAAGTAATAAAGTGAAACCCATAAATGAAAAAGGAACAAAAATCTTTGAAGTAAAATTTAAAAAAAAATCTATATTTTTATATTAATATTTTTGGGGGGAGAAGGAAAATCAACGTATTTACATGTTAAACTAGTGTTTCAAAGTGAATTAAAAGTTTATAGACAAAATAAAAAAGTGATAATTATAACTATCAAGAGAGTAGTGAATTAAATTAAGCACTACACTGTACATTAAACAGAAGAAACAGGTTGAAACGCAATCATTGTAGTAAAACATGTTATATATTTTTTTTTTGTTTAAAAAGCTGACTTTGAAACTTAGAAATTCAAACAGGAAGAGGATAATCAGATTTAAAACAAAAAAAAAAAATAGATTAAGTTCATCACCAATACACATCCTGTATATAAAAGCAATTTAGAAATAGAATAAAGTATATCAGTAAAGCAGAGAAAAGATTTCAAAGTAAATGTAAACCTGTAGTGTAAAAAGAAAAATTCTGAAAGAATGAATTACGACTAAACAAATCTATTTTTTGCTATAAGCAAGTACGTATTTTATTTCTGTGTAAGTAATTGCACAGAAAAGACTGTGATTATTCTTTTGGTAGACAATTTATCGTTCGAGTTCAGTGCTTTTACTTCTTTAATCTAATTCTAAGATACTTCTGAATTTTTTTTAATAAACATTTGAGTGGGTGATTAAAAAATCACGAGGAGATGACCCTGATGTCCCTGAATTTGCTACGGCCAATGTGACGTCAGGCATATCGCATATGTTAAAACCCTATATTACTTTGTATGTTACAAAACATAATTAATTATTCCATAAATTTTTCAAATAGTAATTTAATTAACTTCCATATTCTGTTCTCCAGATCTAGAGGTCTAACTGGAATTTTAAGTCATCGATACAGCCTATCTAGCTAATATAGACCAACTAGGGGCTGCATGTCGACATGGAGGAATAAATACTCATATGAGAAAAATGCGTTAGTCTTATTAACTCCATGCAGAGGAGAATCAAGGTTATGATAGATGTACGGTTGCAATATTGTGAATTTTGCTCATTGGTCTCTTTTTGGGGGGGAAGGGGGCACTGTAAAATGAATTTCCTTAACTCATGAAGTATGTGTCAAAATCAAAATAGAATTTGGCATCGTCTTGACTTGAGATGAGTTCAATTGTTCAACAGCAATTCTGAAACAAATATTCAAAACCATTGAATCACATCAATGATTAATACCCTGATTTTTGCCTTTCAGTATATATTTTTGTATAACATTCAGGTGAATCTATTCTGAATATAATTATACACGGAAGCAATACAATTATCCTCACTGCCGATCATAATATTGTGTTGATCATCAATGCAGAATGCAAGAGGGTTACGTGGACATTGGTCTTGTAGGAGTAGAATTGATAATTTCAATTTCAATTGAATAGTTTCCTCTTTTACAGTATTAGCTTCCTATGATGGCATATTTCTGCTCCCTACATGTAAGATAAATTATGTTAACATGCAAGAAAATTATGTTTCTACATATTGTGCATCTGACAGAGCCTTATTTCTCCTTTGCTTGGAATTTCATCAGAGTGTTTATCTTTCAAACCCTGGCTATATTTGGCATGGGTAACCATGCAAAAAATAAGTCAAACGGCGCGCGCATGCGCCAGTGAGAGGAATACAACAGTAAGTTGACTGGCTCAAAACACCAAATTGCGGAATTGTTTTCTTTCAAATTTCGTGTGAATGTAATGATAATAATCGTCCACTATATAAATGGCTGTTTTTGTGGTAGTAAGGTGGCGGTTTAAGAGATGGCAGGACGAATAACCTGCTCGTAACATGGCTCTGTTTCGCGTTAACGTAATCGTCACGGTTGATTGAAAACAATTCCAGGCCCTCTCTGACGATGGGTAACAAGTTTTATGGGGGAAAAATTACAATAAACTGCTTAGTTAACCGTTGTTGCCTTCATTAACTAGGCAACTTGAAAACAAGACCCAATTGAACTTCCGTAAACTGTGCCAAGATTGCGAGAAATTCATTATGTCTCTTTATTTTGAAAAACGATGTGCATACCTCATATGCATCAAATAATGGAACAAGATTTATTGACAAACTCGTTGTTATCAAATTGCACGTGGTTTGGATTTTTTTTAGCGTTTTCCCTACATGACGTCGTAAATTTTACAGTTGGGTGATTCTGAATACTGATTTTGGTCCATTGTAACTTAATTTCTCTTCTGACCAATTTTCGTAATTTTCAGTCATGCGGTCAAATTTTTTTTCGAACATTATGCTACCCTGAATTTCTTTTTCCTTTCAGTATATTGATGTTGCATCTTGCATCTACGATGTCAGAAACGGGCGTTAGTAAATTAATTAAACTATATTAAAATTACATTTTCTTATTAGATTGATAACATATATGTCAAGATAATTAGCTTGCATGTTGACATTAATATGTTGCATGTCTGCATAATTATCTTGCATGTTAACATATTTTATCTTCCATGTAGGGGGCAGAAATATTCCACCATAAAAACCATATTATAATTATTTTTAATTGATAAAACATTGTTGATATTACTGAATAACGAATTAGATATCATGGTTCTCGTTTAGATGTTTTGAATGAATTCTCTGCAGGAATATAAAACAGTTCTACTAATAAAGGAGAACACAATTAATACCTCTCGGTATACCAACATTTTATTAGAAAACTTGGTCTCCAAGGATTACATAAATGTGACAATGCATAAAAATATATATAATATTTTAAAGTAATTGTGCGTGCAATCAGTGTGGTTTCAGCGAATTAATTCTGCTGATGAAATTAATGATATTTTCAAAAAAATATTTTTAAAACATATATTTTAGGTTCCATTGCAATTAACAGCCGAAAATGGCGTAACGGTATCGTCCTGTGACATCTTGACTCAAGTCTATCTTTCCTGCTTAGGAAACTGTCAATTGAACCAAGCGAAATTGTATTTACGATACCCACTGCTGCGACAGAGGATGCTTACAATTTTTTCAAAGAATCTGCAGAAAAGGTAAAAATTAAAGTAACAGACCACAAAAATGAAAGCCAGTGAATTTAAAATTAAATTTTATAGTTTACTGAAGCTTAGTGTAAGTTTCACTCATTATTTACATTTTCATCTTTTGAAAGTAATATTTTTTAATGTAAAAGTTGTTCATCAAAAGTGATCGTAGTGTCACAAACATGTATCCTTATACCGTATAAGTAGAATTTTTAGCGAGGATTTAATTTTGGCATTATTAGCGAGGGTGCCGAGATCGCTAAAATTGAATATCGCTAAAAATTAATTGCGTTTTATTTGTAATAGTTTCTTTAATATGCATTTTAAGATCGCTAAAATAACATCTCGCTAAAAATAAATTACCAGTTTTTAAGGGCAAATCGCTAAATTTGCGTCTCGCTAAAATTTCCACTTATACGGTAAATAAAAATCATAATGTAAAAGGTTTATATGTACATTGCTTACATTTTGATCTTTTGAAAATGAATATATTTTTTAACATAAAGGTTGTTCATCAAAAGTGGGCATAACGTTACTTAAATGTGTCATAATAAATAGAAAGGTAGCGTAATATGCTGTTGAAACATCATGTTATCTTTTGCAGGCTGGATTAAATAAAATGTATATCATTCCTGAGGCCACTTCGGTTTTTAACTACTGCAGAGAATATCACCGTTTTTATGAAACCACTTCTGATAAAGAGGTGGATCTTTTTGAAAGAGGAAAACAACGCATAGTTTTAGAATGTGAAGGTATTTAAAATGTGTTTTGACAACAGTCGTTCACAGAATAATGTTAATGTACTTAGTTGTGGAACTTTTGAAATTATAGTCACAATTGTTATATTTTCAGACGACAACGTCAGTATTTCTGTATTAGAGGTAATGGATGATTCCATTAACATTGTCTCTAATAAATTTTCCAATGTGCTGGCAACTTACCAAGTTCAGAAGGATTTCGAGGCTATGTTTACGGAGATTGTTGGGGAATCCGTATTTGACGACTTTTCTATGAATCATCGCTCAGAATATTATTAGTTACACAGTCAGTTAGTGACCTAATACGGAATCATACAGGGTGTGAAATGGAAATCCGTATTGGGACTCGGCTTCGCCTCGCCCAATACGGATTTCCATTTCACACCCTGTATGATTCCGTATTAGGTTACTAACTGACTGTGTAACGAATTTATCCCGCTGAAGACCTAACGTTAATTCTTAAATATTAAAAAAAAATCTATGTGCATACTATGAAAATATCACTTTTTTTTCCAATAACAATCAACATAAAATATCGTAACAAGAAATTTAAGTAGTAAAACTACCTACGCAAACTGTTTCTTAGGAATTCGTTTCTTAGCCGCCATTTTTATTTACAATATCAACGCTTCGAACGGAATCGCGTGCCCGATTTTCATATTACGCCTCGACGGAGACGTAATATGGAAACGGAGACGTAATACGGAAAATTTCGGGGCGTCATGTGATTAGCTTTTATCCAATCAGTAATCGACAAATTTGTCTGAAGCGGGATAATTTGAAATATCTCATGAACTACGCAGGAAAATGAAATTTGACATAAATGAGGAAAGGCCAATAAACATCAACGTTCCAGCTTGTTTAATTAATTCATTTGAAAGGACCACCGGAAAGACTTTAAATCAGTCACTTCTACAAACAAAATTTTCAGATAAAATTTCTTTTCTCGGTAATAAATGTAGGATTATGCCAGAAATATTTCAGAGCTTGTTCAAACAGGCAGGGGATAACGTTTTAAAACTTCTTAATAAAGCCATAGCTGATTCCGGGCTTTCAAACACTAGAAACATTATTCTTGTTGGATTTTTTTCAAGGTCTACCATACTTCAAAACAAGATAAAAAATGAATTTCCTATGTGGCATGTCATACAGTACCGACCAGACCCAACTTGACACCAAAGCAGTCCCAGAAAGCAGTCCCCGGGACTGCTTTGGGACCGCTCTGGGACTGCTGTGGGACTGCTCTGGGACCGCTATGGGACTGCTCTGGGACTGCTGTAGAAAGCATTCCCAGCAGTCCCAGCTGGCCCTGGGACTGCTTTCTGGGACTGCTTTGTTCACTCATGTGTGAAAGAGGTTCTGAGTGACATGATAGCTCCGCCCCCTTGTGTATTCTGAATTTGCAGGCTCCTTGTTGTTTTGTTTACTTGCAGCAGAGAGGAGTTTAAACTATTAAAAAAGCAAGGATTTCTTACAATCTTTTAATAACTTGAGATTACATGTATTATACTTAATTTATAGTTTTAGGGACTGCATATTTACACAAACGTAATACAGAATATTTTAAAAAATAAAGTTGTTAAAGAAGGAAGTAAGGAGGAGATTTTTATTCTTAAAATAAACTACGGGATCATAAGAAAAAATATCTATATGTACTTTCATTTTATTATTTAATCTAAAATTTAATACTCAAAACTTGCATTTGACACTATTAAAAAAATCATTTCATTTAGATATAAGATTTTTTAATTGAAAAGGCTACACGTTTTACAAATACCACGCTAAAACAGTACTCCATGCAACCCTCAAATAAAAATCTAACAATTTATGACATGAAATAAAAATTTGCCACCATTCTTCCGTAACATAAGTAATTTGAACAATTATACGGGAATTTACAGATTAATTAGTTTTTAATTTAAAAATAAGTTATTAAGATAGTACATTTAAATAATAATAAAATAAACAGTTAAAAATACCGGGAATTGGATTTTCAATCATGCATGTTATTTGGGTACACGTATCAGTGTTACACATCATTGAACATGCTGCTCAATTAACAATGACCCTAATTTCAATCTGTGTAAAAAATGTAATGCAAAAATAAGATAAATGAAATGGGTATAAATTTCCTTCAAGATTAATTAATGTTGAACATACATTTTGTAATCGTAGGATTCTATACTGGTCACTTATACAATTCACAAATAAAACAATAATTTTTATATTACCATGTCAGTAAAAATAATACTGAAAAATATTACTTGGCAAAGTAGCTACGAATTTTTCAAAAGCCCTATAACTTAAGAAAATGCCTTTAGAGTATCCCGATTGTATGGAAATCGGCCATGATCTATAATGATAAGGTCTATTTAAAACTAATTCTGGTGAAATAAAATTAATTAATTTTAATTTTCTGTATAGAAAATAAATATGGGAGCCAGTATCAATCACAAAAAACCCCAAGATAATTGTGATTAAATATTCATGTTCATTGTAATTCATTTATGTAGGTGTGTATATAAGCTTTCTTCCTTCAATAAATATTATTTCAAATTGTTTCAAATCTATGCGCGTACTACTCATACATGTAAATGATCTTCGCATTGTAAGGATTCCTAGGATACTGCTCAGAAAAAAATCAGCTGCTTTTTATAGTTCCATTGTTTATTGGAAATCTCATTTCCGAGTTAGCTCCGCCCATTAAATTAATAAACCCCGTCCACTGGACTGGGACTGCTAGGACTGCTTTCTGGGACTGCTGGGACTGCTTTCTGGGACCGCTGGGACTGCTGGGACCGCTCTGGGACTGCTGTGGGACTGCTCTGGGACCGCTGCGGGACTGCTTTAGCAGTCCCAGAAAGCAGTCCCCGGGACTGCTCTGGGACTGCTTTGTGTCAGGTTGGGTCTGGTCGGTACTGTAGTTCCTAAAGAAGCTAATATGGTTGTAGTAAAAGGAGCAGCAATGCTTGGTCAAAAGCCGGAAGAAATTCAAAAGGTAAGATACGTCATCAGCATGCACAGCCAATGGAATTATGCATACTTGCTAAGAATTTCAACGTCAAATATTTTTTTTTTAAAGAAATAGTTAATTTTTTCTCTCTTTGCGAGAAGATGCTTGATTTTGTAAATTTTTGCTGATAAAGTTGATTTTTTAAAATTCGTAAAAAAATGTAATTTTTAGTTTGAACAGAATCATAAAGTTACTCATGCACAGGCGGCAACTGAACCTGCTGCTGCAAGAAAAGCCTACACGGAAAGTATTGTCATAGACGTGACAAACACATCAGAATCTGAAGATGCTGAGGGAGACACAGATATGGAAAGTGACGAAGAGAGAAATAAACCCAACCTGGAAGTACCAAAAAAAAAAGAAAGTCTAAGAAAAAGAAATACTGCGTCATTATGTGAATAATAAAATAGCCATGATTTGAGAATTATTATTTTTAAGATCGAATTTGATTATTTGAACAATCTCTAATTTATACTACCGGATGATGTCCATGAAATAATCATGATAAAGACAGATCGTTGTTTGCTATTTTTGAAGAGTTGAAATGTTTCCTTATCTTTTTGTGCCCCCACCCTAACTCTGGTGGTCTTTTTTGAATAAAATTATATTTTCAAGCTTTCAGTTTGTTATGAAACTTACATATGATTTATCTTTTCTGGTAAATTGACTCTAGAGATCATTTTTAAAAAGATGATATCAAATATATAGTCTAATGCTTATTAAAACTTACATGTACATGTATTTCCTTGTAAACATTATTGTGAGTAAACAATTCCCCTTCCATTTGAGATACACTATATCAATGGGTGATATAGGAACAAGATTATCTATACATTTCTTTATACGTCATCAGGAGGAGAAACCAGAAACCATAAGTTTGAATATTAGGATTTTTTAACAATCTTCCTAGGAACCACTGGACCAGGAAAAAAGTAACTTAGACGTAACGAGCATTTTAATTATTCAGATCAGAATTATAGGGATATAATGGAATCAGCAGAGAACTTATCCGGAAAATCAGGAATATAGGAATAATATCTCAAAATTACTTTTCTCAAAAGAAGCAAAATTATGTTGGAATATAATTTTGTGGAAGCGTTATCTGGTACTGTAGATTCATTACGGCCCCTGTATATAAGACATGTGATCAAATGATATATTCATTAGGAAAGAACTCTGATACCGAATATCAGGACAAAGTGAGTCAGATGTGTGTTGTGGTCCTTGTGTTCTTTTCAGTTATAAAAAAATTCTACGGAAATGAACAAACACTATACGGACCAATTTAGAGAACCGTGTAATTTTTTTACAAAGATTTTAAATGGTCTGACCACTACAGTGTATATACTTTCAATCAGAGTTATAATTTTGAGAAATTTGTATATAATCCAACTAATAGGCCTATTATGGAGTACCCCATTCCGTAGACAACGAGAATAATGCTGAATTAGGAAACCAGACATGGCTTTCGAATATGATTACAGCAATGTAGAGGAATCTTTCAAGTCTACAGTTTACAAAATGGTGTGTATGATATTGAAAGCGGCCAAAGGCAAGCTTTTTAAGCCAACAAGTGTATGAGATGATTCTGTCTCAACCTGTCGGTTCCTTAAAATTAAATTTGATGCTTAACTTTGGTAGAATTTTTAATTATAAGTCGACTATTTTTCATTTTCTCCTATAATATTTCAAGGAAATATCTACATCCTATGTTTCCTACAGATATTCACAAATTGTTGCTTTAAAATTTTTCAAACATAAAAAAAAAATTACAGTGACAGGATATTGAACACATAAAAAAATCTTGCTCTTTTTCTTCCTTTAACGATAATCCCGCTGGACTCATACTAGTTTGGCAGTGTCAGTTTAACGTATTATCGTTTAAGCGCCTAAATAAAGAGAGCCCCCAATCCTGACAACAATATCTTCTATCATAAATCTGTAGATTATTCCAGTCATTTGACTAAATATGGAAAGAAAGATGTTCGGACATTTTGTTAGAATGCATTAAAAGTTTTAGAAATATACAATACAATCTTACAAGTGAATTTCGTCGTGAAAGAATTAGAGAGACTGTACATTAACAACATGTTATGGTTCCAGCCGACAAGGTTTGTATCAATTTTGTTTGGTTACAATGCTCATCATTATGCTTTAAAAGAACTTGGTTTTAATTCAGTTCACTTTTAAAAGATAAACTTCTTTAAAATGAAATTTTAGTATTAACTTGAACTTCCTGTTAAATAAGGAAGTTTGGTCTTACCTGTATAGAAATCAAACTTCACAAAATCTTTATAAATAGAGGCATTCTGCACTAGGGTCAAGCAACGGCTCTAACAAATCCTTATCCTCAATGAAAATATTTTAAATTCACTGAATATTTTTTTCTTTTTTTTCTTATGAAGATCTTGCCAATAATCAGTTTACGCATAAACCACACTAAGCAAGCCACTCCTGAGATTAGATAGGGTGCCTAGGAGGAGAACGCATTCCTTTTGGCCTGTCATTTCCACCATTGGCACTATGTAATTTTTAGTTACATGAAAATGATGTTATTTATGTTAACAATTTCATACTAAAGACCAAATGCCTCTA